ACTGAATTTCAAATAAACACACTTTAAAGGCATCCTTGTTGGCGTAATATTCTTTCTTTCTTCTCATATTGTTTCAATGATTTGTTATTAATCGGATTTCACTTCATAAAAGTCACAAATCGTTGGAAATCTCTTCGAAACTGTGTATTCCCACTCCTTGTATCAACAAATATAGAATCGCGCGTATATTACGCAATCGAACTGGAAACCATGGAAACGAGAGATAAGTAGTCTACCAAAACAAAAAGAATCGCACATGCGCAGCACGGACTGTAACCCCTCTTTAAAAAACTGGCGTTAGACAAGTGAAAAAAAGTAGGGGCACATTCTGGCTGAATGGGTTAAATGCTTAATTTAAAGTCAACCATTTACATGCTAAAACCAAGAAATATGCACTGAATTGATAATCTTAATAATCAATTCTATATATTGGGTTAACAATTTTATGATTCAGATAAGATTGCGATTTACTCAAGTTTAATACTCTCAAATAATGTTCATGTTTTGGCTTTAATACTGGGCTTGTAGCAATCAGCAATGTAGCCATATTTATATTCATATTAACATATTGTTTTATATACTATGTGGGTTCAAATGTGCTTTCTCGAGTTTTGTCAAACAAGTGAAACCCAGTATTTACTATAATCTGTTTATTCAAAATTTGAATTGTTGATTTTAACTAACATTTGACGGCATTGAAATGAAATAATTCAATATATAAAACCTCGCGCGCAAATTCAAATTTTAGCAGCCACAAGACTACAACAGGCCAACAGCCACAAAATAAAATGGGTAAATACGGTCGATCTACGTTATAATTATATGATATCAACATTAATATTTCATACCTGAGATCAATAAGCCTTCGGCAGGATTCGGAGTCACTTATCCAGTACAAAATAAGATAAATACTATGGACTCTTCTTGGGCAAAATATACTCAAACGAAAAAGTCGAAAATTTGCAAATCACACTTGAAATTTGATACACGATATCCCACAACTCATTGCGCGCGTGACTCTTGTCATAGAATAAGAGCTCTTGTCTTCTAAAATAGATACTTCAAAAAGCGCTCCCAATCTATCGTAGCGCTAGCTTGAAATTGTAGGAAGCATTAATCTGGCGGTCTCTGGCCAAAAAATGATTATAAAAATGATGAAAATTCTTATGAGCGAATAATGAGATAGATTTTCTAAAAAAGTTATATGCCAATTGCAATTTAAATATAAAATTTTTATGGTTTATTACAGTATTAACGTATCGCATGTCTTAACATGTGACAGCATTAATCGTGATGTCATGACATGTGGTGATATTTATACGCAAAATCTTGGGTAAATTTACACATCATTTTTTGCTGTGGATCATACCATCTTCATTAAAGTGTAGATAGACGATTGTTGCAAATGATTTGAATTCATGTATAATTGTTATTTTTCAATAACAATTCATTGGCCATATACCGGCAAATTCATTACGATAGTGCCATGTTGAAACTGCGACAATTCAGGACAGATCCGTTCAGCTTCAAATTTGACAAAAAAGTGAAAGATATACAATAGAACTAGGTTTAATTCAATTCAATATCATATCTCGTTTCGGCCATGCAAAAGTTGCCGTCCGAAAGAAAGGTTTTGATATATACGATAAATAATATTAAACTTCATTTCAAGATTGTTTTTCTAATTATAAGAATATTATTCTAGGATGGAAAAATGTTATTCTTAAAATAAGAAAAATATTCTCTCGAATATTCTTGCCTAGTTATATTTTCTTACTTTAAGATTTTTGTTCTTAAAACTAGATTTTTTTTCTTGAAATATTTCTTGATAAGAAATATTTACTTAAAATAAGAAAAATAATCTAAAAAATAAGAATATTATTCTAGACTAGAATTCGATTTTTTGCAGTGTAGTCTATCGTGATTTCTACGATCCTCGAAGGAAACCCAAGATTATTAACGAGAAACTAACAAATACAAAGCATTTTGTATACGATTCCTATATGTTTCACCGAAGCGGAAAGAGGGTTCTTATACAAATCAATTAAACATTGTTTGTTCACCAACGCGTTTTAAACTTACTGTTTTGAAAATGACATCACTTTTGTTTGTCAGTATAAATGGTCCACCACCGCATTTATGGAACGCACAGCTTGCAATAGTAAATTGGCTGTTGAAGCACCGATCCGCTACAGCACCGATCCGCTACAGAGTATTTTCACTTGAGTGTTTTCAATTTTGTTGATTTTATGTAGGGCGTACAGTTGCTACTAAAGAGGTTCCCCTAAAATATTTCAAAATATATGTTACAGTTTATAAATATTAGGCTGTTAGGAAAATGGAAAATTTAGACCAGCTGGGAATCAAAGGCACAGTCGCAGCCAGAAATTTTCATATTTTCTGAACCCCGCTTTTCCACTGGGCGAAATTGCTTTTTGGAAGGGAAGTAAAAGCAAATGTCAGTAATGTAATCAATTGGTTAGAAAATTATTCACCGCGTCCTATATTTTCACGGCAATTTTTTTTTCGCTAACCACTCATACCACTGAATGTAGTTTTCGCTTGAAAGTACACCACCCGGCTTTACATCTTCAAAAAGTGATACCGAATAATTTTGAAAGTTTGTGCCACAATTACTAGAACATAGCCAAAAGAATTTAGAATTTCCAAAATATTATATTGTGAACACCCCTCCCCTGCCAATTCAAAGGACGTTTTGCATGGAGAGCCCTCTTGAGTCCTTGTTGACATTCCAGGACTACACCACTGATGAGAAAACACATCGCTGAATAACATTTTTTGGCATTGTTATATGTTCAAATAGAAATTTACCTTAACAGAGAACTTAATTTAAAGCATGAGTAAATATATTTTCTTGAAATCTATCAAAAAAGGTTCAACTAATAAACAATAAAACTCTATCTAAATTTCATGCGGAATAGACATCTGCACGCAATTAAAGATTAACTGATCAAGTAATTCAATCACTTTGTTATGGTTAATAAATATGTACATTTATGCTAAATAAACGATTATTAAATATTCTTGCTATTACTATAATCAATTTATTTAGATCGAGGAAATTTTTAGCTTAGAAATATGGTCAAAGAGACGCTAATTGGATATGAAAACTTCGAACATTTAAAAATCATGCATGACAAAGGTTGTCAAACTCACAAAGTTTAAAATTATGGCATTTATAAACTTATCGAATCCAAATAACTTGGAAATTCTGCACAAATAACTGTCAGTGAAAGTAAATTTTGACAAAAAATTTCCGATCGTAATTTTAAAACGCTAATTCACTTGTTTTTAACTTCTTTTTTATTTTACTTGTTTTTGTTCACGAGATCAGGTGTTTGGGAAACGTGTCACACACCACCTCCTTGCCAGTGCATTTTCTTCGCCATTAATGCACGTAACGCCATGAAATTACATTTACACGTAGTTCAGGTTTTTTTTGTTGTTTTTATGAGGATAAAATTTATGTCGGAAGCAAAAAGTTGTCAGTAATGCGCCATTTCATTTTCAAAACAAAATCGCTCCTACAGTCGCCATGTCGTTCGATTGCAGAGTGACGACTCCTATACCGTCGTGCATAGCGGACATCGCTAAAAGGCAAGTGTCCCATTCATGATTTGTGACCCTATAATCAAAATATCGTTTAATATGTTTCAACGGCTAATCTCCAAAATTTGAACAAATTAGAATATCGGGTTAGTCTCTTCTACAAAGCAAACGGTTGGGATTTTGATTGGTCAAATACCACTGGGTTTACATGATACTGAGTATTTATTGAATCCAGCAACAAGGGCAGATTTCGTGCTCGACCAATCAGCGCATTTGTTTACATTTTCGCTCTCAGCCAATCATAATGCAGAAAACGCGAAATTTGCATCAAGGCGAACTAGAAAATATTGCCGTCTTCTCGGGCTTCCGTGAGATTCAATTTTAACTTTAATTTAAAACTAAAAGATTACGATAAAGCACATTAAAATCTAAATCTTTGCCGTGGGTATTTTTAAATTTCGTCCTAGAATGGAAAATATCCATGTTTGAAATTTTTCCCGATGTCGCGTATACAAATTTGAGTAATCTAATTTGACTGCAATAAAAATAAACGTTGCTATATTTTATCTGCTTTTAAGTTTTTGTTGGCAAACTTTTTTCACTCTTGTTGCAAATTGTTTTGGTCAATGTTTTATTTCAAAACCTAGACGATAACGCGTTTATAGCGCCTGACTTAAAAAAAATATAGTCGCATGCTCGCGATCATACAGGAAATCAATACAAAAATATTGTCCGCCAGGTTTTGCAGAAAATTAGTCTCTCTGAACGCGTTATCTTCTAGGTTATGAAATAATACATTGACCAAAACAATTTTCAACAAGAGCGGAAAAGAGTTTTCCAACAAAAACGTAAAGCAGAGAAAATATAGCAAGTTTAGTTTTATTGCTGTCAAATTAGATTACTCAAATTTGTATACGCGACATAAGGAAACATTTCAAACATGGATATTTTCCGTTGTTGGTCGAAATTTAAAAATGCTCCGCATGGCAAAGTTTTAGATTTTAATGTGCTTTATCGTCATATTTTGGTTTTAAATTCAAAAAGTTAAAATTGAATCTCACGGAAGCCCAAGAAGACGGTAATATTTTCTAGTTCGCCTTGGTGTAAATTTCGCGTTTCTTGCATTATGATTGGCTGAGAGCGAAAATGTAAACAAATGCGCTGATTGGTCGAGCACCAAATCGGTCCTTCTTGAATCCAGCATAAATAACAACCTGATAAGGGCGACGGAGTAGCCTATAATATTGCAAAATCTATACTAAGGGCAATTTTTCATAGCAATCAGAAATTTTTTTTTGTTGACAGACTATTTGCCCGCTTTATTCGTTTGGCCAATGTGTGCTCAACAAGTTCGTATATTCTGGAAGGAAAAGTGTTGCTGGCGTTGTTGCTGTTATTTTCATAACGGGTGGAATTGGGTTTTAACGATAATGTTGATTGGCTTCTTGGCCTCTGAATTGCTCTGGTTCATTGGGGGATGGCCAGTCGATAAATTAGAATCAGCTTCGGATGTTCCAGGACACAGAATTCTACTTCTGGCTAACAGCTTGTTTTCGATCTCCACGGTTTTAAGCGTTTTTTATTTGGGTAGTTTCTGGACAGTACACTCCATGGGCGGTTCGTTGCAGATTTCGTCATTACGGATGCTCAAAGACATTCGTAATTTTTCAGTGATATTCTTTGGAGTTTTCGTGGCATTTACACTCGGTGTGTGGAACATTTACTCATTCAGAAATACATTGGAAGCAATCTACCCAAACGGCAACGGTACAGCACAACGTGTGGAAGACGATATTAGCACGTATGTATTCGGAAATAGTATTGCACGCATAGTACTTTTCCATACAACTGTTCAGTTTTCGAAAAAATATTTCTACTAAAAATACATGCATGCAGTAACCCCTCGCCAATATTTCCATACATTAAACATGACTGAAGTATTCAGAAACGACCAGCACTGGACGCAGGCTCGCGCTCAAGTGTTGCCATGACAACACGATATTCTTAAATTTTTATTTTCATATATTTTGTACAAAACTGCAAAATAGTTGAAAGATTCGTACTTTTAACTATACAACAATAAATTTCCGAAATATATACTGTAGGTATATTATTTTACATTTTGTGATCTTTGATTTAATGTAAAATTTAACTTGAAACGCTTCGTAAAATGTTTTGAAATGTTCATTCAAGTAAACTACATTTTGCCGATAAACTGTTTTTACTTAACCAGACATGATAAGTTTAATACAAATAAAACAAATTGTTAGGTAATTTCAGTTCATTCTTCAAATCAATTTGTTCGCCTTTACACTTCAAGATTTTTTCTCAAATTAAACAGTAATTTATGAAACTTAGAGCTTCTATAGTTCATGTTTTTTATTACGCAAAAAGTTAAAGCAACAAAATTCGTAAACATTTTAAAACTTGCCGTATATTTCCCGATTTCCCGTAGGAAACCAATTCTTCTCATTTCTTCAAAGAAATTTGCTTCAAGCTTGTTGTATATGAAACGATTTTCCAAATATATGTCTTTTAAAATTGAAATCTTGCTTGCCATATTTTTGAGATCAGTGAGGATGACCACCCACTCAAGATCGTTGATCGTTGGTGAGCGCCCGCGATGATTGATGAACTTTAGACTTCGCTAATCCTTTCGTTTCCCCGGGTGTAAATAGCCGGTGGAAATTAGTACTAGGACTATTTTCAAACTCAAAACACTACCCAAAAAGTTTAAAAATCCACCCTATCGATACTAAAGACAGTAAAATACATATACAGTGAATTGGCTTCAGTGGACTTAGTGCCAAGCCCGAAATGTACTTTTCCCCGACCAAACTGCGAAAAAAACAAATATAAACATCGGAAAAACACTTGACAGTGCTACATGTTTTGATTCAAATGTTCTACATATATTCAGCTATTCTTCGAAAATTTACGTATAAATATAAATAGTAGAACGTACAACTTTGTCCTTAAACATAAAATGTAAAATAAAACAACCTTAAATAAAGAGCAAATTGTTTTTCGGCAACTAAAATTTGTATTTGTCTGTCAAAGGTGTAACTAGAGCGTTAATTGGGGGGGGGGGGGATATTCATATATTCGTGTTCTGCCCGACTAATTTCTTTTGAATTGAACTTTAAAACAAAGAAATTCAAAAGAAATTCGTCGGGCAGAACACGAATATATGAATATACACCCCCCAATTAACGCTCGAGTTACGCCTCTGCGTTTTTCAAGCATGTCCATGCTGCAAAACGAATCGGAAAATAAACATTTTACTTTGTTTACCTTCTGCAAAACAAATCGGAAATAAATATTTTTACTTTGTTTACCTTCTGTTTTCTGTTTGTATAGAAAAGCATCTATTGCAATGAAACTATAAAAGCTTTTTATCCAGCTTTTATCGCGTCGTTTTAGCAGTTTGTCAGCCATGCTTGCAGTAAAGTAACAAACGCAACTGATCTCAAATGTACTTCGCATCTGGAATTTTATCGGAATTTCATTCTAACCATGAACTATCAAGTAAAAAATAAACACGTTATTTACGTTTAGGTCGGTCCGTACTAAAAATATTTTCCCTCGGCCTCAGAAGCGTCCCTCGGCCTTCGGCCTCGGGCCGCTTCTGAGACCTCGGAAAGATATTTTCTCAGTACGGACCTCGCAGCCGGTAAATAACATATATTTATAACGATATGATGGTCTGGAGAGTAAACAGAAGTAATCGCGTTATTTTTTGTCTGAGTTTATATTAATTTGTCCAATAGGGATAGCTCCATTGCGATGTTCGTGCCTGGGTAGTTACTGAATGGACCATTTGCATTGTAGACTAAATTTTGGTTTTGGCAAAAATTTCATAACAGCTTGAAAGATCATCACAAAATTAGTAATATTCCAAAGTTTCCTTGCGAAATGTTGCAAAATGCGGATAATATATCCTTGCGAAAATTTGCAATTTTCAGTCATTTTGTATTACAAACGGGAAATTGATGCCCCAACACCCCATTGGGCTGTCAATTTCCCGTGCGTAATACAAAATGACTAGTGAAAAACGGCAAACTTCGCAAGGCTATATTATCCGAATTTTACAACAATTCGCAACGAAACTTTGAAACATTACTAATTTTTTGTGATGCTCTTTCAAGTAATATATGAACAACGAGAGCGAGTGTTTCATCTGGAGATCCAAACACTCGAAAACAATGTATGAAAACACGAGCGCGAAGCGCGAGTGTTTTCATACATTGTTTTCGAGTGTTTGGACATCACGGTGAGACATGAGCTCGAGTTGTTTATATGGCTTCTCAAATGAATCGAGACGTAACACAATGTTTTCGTTTGCTGATTAGAATAGAATTCTTAACCAAGCCTAACGTAATTAGGAATTCTATTCAAGTAATTTTGCGTGCGTATAATTAAGATATTTGATGAAAACACTAGTGACCTAGTGACTTTCATCAAGTTTCACCGGGTTTCCAAATGGCATCTTGTGATTATCATTGGCTGAATTGCTCATGAATTATTAATGAATTCGAGAAGCTGTGATGAAATTTTTGTCTAGATCAAAATTTAGTCTATAATGCAAATGGTCCATTAGCCTTTCTCACATTTTTGGGGCACTATCTGCCCTCGTAAAATATTCTAGAGAATTCAAGCAACGTGAAAAGCGATTTCTAAAAGTTGTTACTGTAAATTAACCATTATACAAACAACTACAATACTAAAAAGTTGCATTTCATGGTGCGGAAACTCTCAAAGATGGGAGAGGCAGTACCCAAGAGAAAATCGGCCGTGAGAAAGGATAATTATGGACCATCCTTACCATTATTTTATTATACATGCATAATGGCTGCGTTATCCAGTACTAATAGAAGTGCTATTTCTTTGGGCTAATTATATTAGAGCCACTAGTATAATTTCACCGAAAAATGCCACATTCATGGTATGGCAAGCGAGGCATTATTATCATGAAAGTTCAAAAGTTGTAGAAGAGGCAAACCAAATTAATTGGGAAACGTACTACTAATTGAAGGGATGAATGAAGATAATGTTTTATTCTATAATTTAGGTTTTCACAGTCTTGGCAGGCTCTGTTTTGGGCATTATTTGATCAAACCAACGTGAAAAATTTTGAAATCGCAAATCCAAGGTTCGGCATCACAAGTAAAACTGGGAAGTTAATGTTCGCCATATACCTCATCAGTGTTGTGCTAGTGGGAATGAATTTGCTCATCGCAATGATGAACAACTCATACGAATACGTTGCGGTAAGTCAGCTGGCGAAAATTTCTGCAAAGGAGGAACGAACTAAATTAGATAGTTAACGAGTGAAGCTTTTTGCTCTCGCTGATTCTCTGAATGTGAAAATTAATTTTGTGAGTGGGTTTAGCGCATAATTTACTTTATTACAACTGCCACTGTGTTTTCCTTCGGGAGATGTAGGCCTATTGTAGCTTTTTTGCCGCGAGTTCAACGTTCATTTGAAATTCGAGGGAAAACAAAACAAACTCTTTCACCAGGCAATAGACACTAAGTTTACTGTTATGTAGCGAAGAAGAAAAATAAATAATATTCTGAAAAAATTATATTTCACGAATAATGGGCCGATGTAACGACCCCATGACCCAAGTCAGCCCTGCTGGCCGATATTAACCTTGTCACGAAAATGTTTTCCTCGCAAAAGGCCGTTTGTATGATTGAACTTTGTAATGTTATTGGAATCAAACAAACCTAATTCAACTTTGAAATGTAACATTGGATGTTCATCAAAACCATGATAAAAGCTTTATTAAACGAATCCTGCCTGCTAACCGGTGCAGCCTGGCTCCATTGAACAGCCCTTGAACTCTTTAACATCAATGATTTTAAGTATTTTTCTTCTTTGTTGGACACTATTCTTTTTGCGTGCTGGAAAACGTTCTTTTAAACTTTTGACTACATTTTGAGCATTTATGATCGTATCAGCTAAATGGTATGATCGGGCAACAATTTTATTTACTTTTTTACTCGTTTATTTAGTTTCAAGCACTATATATACGGTAATAACAGATTGGCTAAAATTTATAACCAATTTAGTTGGTTGTCGCAGATTCAATAAATCTGAGATATACAGTACCTTGAATTGGTTGTTTTAACAAAATCCATTTTTACTGGGTACCTGTATAACAATTTCCATTTATTGCATTAAGTTTCCGTGAACACTACCTTGAAATATTCCCTGAAATATTTTTCTTCAATTTCTTGCATGCATGTGTTATTTTAATCCCTCCTATGCAGACACTAGTTCTATCATGTTTGTCTTGCCGTAGCTATTTCTGCGATATTTAATGGGTTTTTGCTCATATAGAATGATAAAACTGCTCTGAACTGGACGATGGATAAAACGGCTTTATGGTTAGAATTCGCACAGAAGGATGACTACATTTTACCCCCACCATACTGTATTCTGCAAATTGTAATTTATGTTTGCGACAGACTTAAGGTATGTATATGCATGTAAAACAAGACGCTTACTCAGGCGTTGACACAGACCTGGAAATGACGACATACGCGCTATAGTTGAATATGGTGCAATAGACAAGAATACTGCAAGCAAATTTTATGGATCTTTTAGAAAAATAAAAGACCTTTTTCTGGAGATCTATGGCCGGTGCACATCTCTAACTAGGAGTTACTATCGCAAGGAAAGTGCTGCCTTTACCTTTATGCCACATGAACTGAATGGAAAAGTTTGTATTTCTAAACAATTCTTTCAGCTTCTTGATATACGTATTTCTTGCTTTTACATTTATTTGGTTGAATATTTAAACTTGAATGAGAATTTTTTTTTATTAAAGAATTCTTCGGATCGGATCGGATTGGAATCTTTTATCGAAACTTGGATCGGATCGGATCGGATTCGTATTAGACAATTTCGGATCGGATCGGATTTTAACCATTAGCCAGTTGTCGGATTATAAACGTCCAATCCGATCCGATGCACACTTCTAGTGGATAATTAATTCATTTTATTATATGGCAAACATTTGTTTTCATGAATCGCGCAATTTGATTGGCTGCTGACGAGGCAGGATTTTCCCGTATTGGCCACGCGCAATACGTAATTTTTATTGATCTGCGACGAGAGCCGAGTTTCAAACAGCAAAAAGTGTCTAAAAGTCTTTCAAAACTATTCAAAACGAAGAAAAATAAACCAAAAATAAAAAGAGGAGCAACTGCTGTGGTTAAAAAACTATCTCCATACGTTTTTGTTAGCGAAAGTCAAAATTACAAGGTCAATTTTACAATACGTTCTTTATTTTTTTTCCCTTTTTTCTTTGTTCTTTGTTCTTTGTTCTTTTTTTTGTTCTTTTGATGAAGATCCGGGCTTACCGATCGAAAGCTTTGCAGTAATAAATTTACGTGGTGTTTTCACAAAAAAAGCTATTATTAAATTTTACAATGTTTATAACTATAAAAGCAGTCAGGAATAGTTGTGTTTTGACAATGCGAAGAGCTGCAAATTTTATTTGCAGATAGCCAGGACGAATTTGACATCATCCTAAATAAAAAATACAACTAAAACAGCCACAGATTTATAATTTTTCCCTGAAAATTTCTGTTTTTGTTAGATAAAAGAGACATAAATAATGATGAAGCGAACTAAAAACGTACTTGTTTTTGTAATTTTATTGAATTTTATTGTTTTCATATTTGTTGTCTTTGATTAAATGACGAAATACCTCGTATTTTCTTGAAATACTATCCAAACTGTGTTAGTATTCTATATAAAAAGTACTGTAGAGCAGTTTAACTAACCATAGAACATTTTTTACAATTGTTTTTTTTTTCAAATGTTTCGGACTTTGTACTTTGCACTCGCGTGACCTTTTCTCCCAATTTTTACAAACGTACAATGCCATATAATAAAAAACTTACTGACCTCAACCGTTCGGACAGTACGGGAAAATATCCAACCTCGGTCTTGCTGTATTGACCTCGCTATCGCTCGGTCAATACAGCAAGACCTCGGTTGGATGTTTTCCCGTACTGCCCTCACTCTCGGTCAGTAAGTTATTATTATTTCAGATGTCGAAGTCCGATTCGATCCGATTACGAATCAACATAATCAATCCGATCCGATCCGAAATGAATATTTTGTTTCGGAAATCCGAACGAATCCGATCGGATCGGATTCGGATCGGTTTCGGATCGGATTTTCGCACCTCTACAACGTATATTTACAGTTGTTTATTAAAGTGAAACTGTCAAACCTTTAATTGAATTGCCCTTGTTAATTGTATTCCACTATATTGTATATTCCACTATATTGTGTACTAAAATTTGCTGGGTCCAAATTTTTGGGTTTTCCAGTCGTTACACAAAGAAAAGCACATTAATTCAACACGCAAGAAAGTCCAGAGTGCGACGCAACGTAAAATCCAAAGGAAACCGGCACAACTCTTTGAAAATTCAACGAAACTGTGTGAAATATATTTTGATCACGCAGCCAAAAGCCGCCATTTTGAAACTGGACCGAATATGCCACCCTTGGTGTTCGGAATTGTGCGCGTGCGTACAAGTCTATATATGGACTAGCCTGCGAACAGGCTCTCAAGGTGAAATGAGAGCCTGCACTGATGATATTCAATTTTGAATATCTGCCCCGTAAACGTTTGTTTTCCAAAATATGGAATGTCTATCCTTGTATGGTGTTGTTTACAACTTTCGTGCAAACTAAATTTAGACCGTGCAAACTAAATTTAGACCGTACAGTTTATACTGTGTTTCGAAGTATAAGATATTCAAGCAAAAGTTTAAATGTTTTAAGGTTAAATCATATGATAGATTCCTGTTTCAGAAAAATTGTCACTGCGTGCTCAATTTTTTAGTTACGTTTCTCAATTTTGGTACATGCAGTGACAACTAACTGTAGAAGCTACTGTTTTAACCAAAATTCACCACGTTTTAACCTGTAGTCGCAATGAGACATCTTTTGAAAAATAGCACCTCCTGCGCCACGAGATTTAACGACAGACCGTTTAACTCAAGAGCTCCCAAAATATCATATTTCTCATCCCAAATGTCCAAAGAAGAAAAGTGTGTTCGCATTTTTTGACAGCTATTGTATTCGCTTTGATATAAAGCAGACAACTTGACTTATCTTGCGCGGGTATACAGCGGCGTAACGTTAAAGCAGGGCCCCCCGGTTCAAAATTTGCGAAGGACCCCTAGTAGAAGTGCCAAAGGCACGAGTCGAGCGCCGTATATGCACAAGTTTTCTAGGGGGTTCAGGGCATGTTCATCCGGAAAATTTTTTAATCTAGACTCTCTGAAATGCCATTTCCTGGACTTTGGGGAGAGATTTTACAGAATTCTGATGGTCATCACGACATTGTAACATATCAGAGGCCCTGGCCAATGTTTTTGCTCTATCGCCTAAGCCAGGTGCCCCATTGGAATTGGTGCCCCCAGGTTCTCCCGGTCTGAGCCCATAGTAGTTACGCCAGTGCGGGTATAAGCGGTTGAAGAGATGCTTCTAAATTGAAAAATAATGCACTAAATCGAAAACGCGAACAGATTTTAGTTTCTTTATTATTGATTAACATTGTGGTCAAGTTTGGGACGAATCGGTTAAAACGTTCTGTCGTTAAATCTTTTTTGTCGAGGAGATTGGGTAATTTTGCTTTGTCTTCAAATAACCATATAAGATTTGGCGAGGTTTCCACTCTTTCTGTCATTTCTCCGCCCCCAATGTTAATCCACTTGTGGCCAAACCACAAAGTGTGAACTTTTCTGGCGTCAAATATCAAGGTGTGAAATTCACTAAAGTATAAGTTATTGTTCGGAAGCATATGTCACTGCGACAACATTAGAAAGCTTATAATATAGTATTTACAGAGTCTCTCGAAGTTCAAGCTATGCGCGATGTTGGCTTCGGTGACTTTTCTACTACGTTTGCGTTTTGGCTTAGACCGGTTCCTTACTAATTGTATTTAACCGCAAGAGGTCAGACTGACAATTCGAGTCAATCATAATTGCAAGTTTCGCGCGAAGCTATTCAGTGGTCATAGCATGTTGCCCTATATCTCGGTCGCTTTTTAACATTTTCTTAAAAAGTTGCTGGAATTGATAGATATATCATTACTTAATATAACTATATAAAAAATTTTTTTTTGAAAAAATCAGAGTCTCATCATATATTGTAACCTTAAACGAAGAAACATAATACATAACTGCTAAACAGTTACACTTTGCTTTAACATAGGCATCTCAAGTAAAAACGGCCTTCTTGGTTGAGTTTTCCTTGTTTTCTTGTTTTATTATTAGCATGACAAAATTACTGGATGCTGATTAGTTGAGAGGAGTACAATTATTATTTCATTAATTGTACTGCAGTACAATTAATGATTTTCCCAAAACAAACAAAATGGCGGAAACGTATTTAAACACAAATGAAATTGCCATTGAAGAACTTAAAGCAAAAGAACTAAATGAAAATACGACTACAAAAGCACCAAATTTTGGTTGAAAGTCTGTCAGGACTGGGTTTTGGCGAGAGAATATGATGTTGACATTGAGTATTATCCAATTTTGTCATGCTAATAATAAACAAGTACGGCGGCTCGTCCAATTTTGGCAAAATTTCCAAACATCACTCGTACTATTAATCCCTAATTGTACTCGCCATCGCATGATTACCTATACT